GAAAGAAAACCGAGAGTAAGAAAAGAAAGCGGAAGATGGAGATATGACTTGGAGTGAAAAGTGAACGGCAGAATAAACAAAATTTTCTCAGGACCGTAAGCGATAGCTAGATGTGACTTTTCGCGCTACGTGGCTTTACGTAAGCTCAAGTGTTGTCGTTGCGATACAATGAATAACGTCCCAATTAATGCCGTATCCTTGAAATAATCGCTTCTATGTCCTTACACCTTCAACACGTAGACAGGTAAAATGGGCGCTCGACATTTCAGGGAAGCAAGGAGCACCGTTAACAAACCCTTTCTTCTCACCGCCGTTTATTTAGGTGTGTCCCCTGGTTTCACGCCCCCTCCGCTTACCCGACTCATACTTACTTATCATCAGCTGTGCTAATTCGGTAAGCTCGAAGGCGGTGAGGTCTTTGGGAGGGATTGGGGGGGGGGGTGTAACCCTCTTAATTGAAATTTAAATTACGCGCGCGCGCATGTAAGCTTAAATTATGCCCGTTCCCAAAAGAAATTGACGGCACGATATTGAGGGGACATCAACGGATTATACGGACATATTATTATCGATGTAGTTGGAATTTCAATGGGGGATTGGCTTATTTGCTTGAAGTTAAGCTTAAGTTCTTTACTTCGATATCGTTCCTTACATAATCTCTAAGCGGTTTTATCAGCTATTATTTGTATCTTCGTGAAAAATTGTGGTTTCAAACAAGTCACATTATGTATTAATCGCAAATATTTGAGCTACAAATTTATGTGCCTTAGCTTCTCGGTATTCGACATTAAATTATCGGATATAACGAGTCACTTGTACTATTATTTCTCAGCTTCAAGTTCTCTTCAATAAGCTCCTCGGACTATGCTACAAAATTAAAACGTCTCGCGATAAACTTGCTACTGCGACTTGTAAAATCGTTCTAGCTTACACGTACGTATATATTTTTTCGTTTCAAACAAACATAACGTCCGATTATCCAATACCGATTGATAGATGAATTTCAACGGTTACGACGTATATTGGGAATACATGCACATGCATAAATACAATTAAATACAAGCGCTATAAGAAAGCTCAAATCCTCGCGATAAGGGGCAAATGCGGAAATAAAGCTCGTCAATTGAGTTAATTAGTGGTGCACTAATACAATTACATTAGCCGTGTGTGTTATCTTGTCCCGGAGTGAAATATATAGTAAGTAAAATATTCACTTTTGTCAGGCTTGTGCGAAGGAAAATTTTTATCGAACATTATCGTCCGGCAAAAGGCCGCGATATGTTCTCTTGCTCTCTCTCTCTCTCTCTCTCTCTCTCTCTCTCTCTCTCTCTTTCTCACACACACAGACACACACACATACGCGCGCGCACAAAATATTTATCTCTTGCACGACACCTGAATTAAATCCGGTCTGCTGCTGAATGGACGGTGGACGGGAACTGTAATACAAGCGCATGCAGATGTCGTCCTCAACAGCTCTCACACCATGAAAGAAAACCGGAAAGGGTCATCGGAAACCTTGTCATCGGCTCACAGTAGTCGACTTTCGCATACGCGGGAGGGGCTAGCACGCGGATTGGGAATCGGTAAACGAGACCGGGGCCGGGGCCGGGGCCGGGGTCGGGGCTATGTAGTCGCCGCCACCACCGCCGTCGCTAACGACGACGACGACGACGACGACGACGATTGTGCAAGCGGAAAAACTAGCGGTGACGGCGGATGAAGCGGGGTAAAGAAAGAGACGACAACGGATGGGCGGAAGCGGGCTATTTGCATTTTTCATTCATTAACGACTGCCGTGTATGAACGCGAGCGGCGCTCGCCGCCACCATTCAGCGTCGCCGAGGCCTCAAAATCTCTTTTATATATAAATTTATTATATACGACGACGGCATCGTCGCGCGTGCGTTACGAGG